CTTGGTCCTGAGGCGGTAGGTTTAGAGAGTGTGTATCTGTAACTAAAGAACATTGGTCTGGTTTTTAACAACAATCTGGCTGCTTTTATAGCTTTTTTCTCTGGTGCCTGCAAATCATAACATTAATTTGACTGCATTTTACTATCTGCCACACAGAACTTTGAACACAACACCATCAATATCAAGTACAGCATTAAGTATTGTTAGTGACTGTGTATCCAGGCTAGTATACTAGGAGCAGATACAGCTAAGGGAGGCCTGATTGAGGTTTTCAAAATGATGTGGGGTTTTGAGAGAATACACAGCGAGAACTTGGTCCCACTGGTAAGTGGATCAGTAACCAAAGTTTGGGAGAGTTAAACTATTGCTGATAAAGTCACATTTTATTGAAGCTTTTGCCTCACTCTCATCAGGGCAATTCACAAGAAATACTAATTTTAAAGGGAAAACCAACATTTGTAGCCCCGGAAGGAAAAGTACCTGGTTTAAAATTTTGGCAAAGTTGGCAGTTAATTATCAATCACCATCAACTGGTACATTCTCCATTGCAGTCCACTTGCCACCAATCAGCACTCTCCTCTCATCAGCGTAAATGTTAGTGTTCCCCTTAAGTTGGTATTCTTGCAAATTGTCCTGGGTCCAAGACAAAAAGCTTCAACAAAATGTGTTTTGTTTTCAGCAATGCTCAAACTCTGTACTAGCTGAAGACTTAAGATAATTGGCAGAAGAACGAGAAGGGAAATAAGGAGAATTTTTTGTACATGATGGTTAAAATCTGGAAAATGTGGGAAATCAGAGTCCATGAGAACTTTCAAAAAGCAATTGGATAAGGAGCTGAAGAGAATCTGTTTGCAAAACTGGGGGGAAAAGCTGTGAGTCTAAATTGGATAATAAATCTTTCAAACAGATTATATAAGTGCAAAGCCCAAATACGCTGTGAAATTCCATGATTCTTTCTATCAGTGTTTGCTCTGGGGCAGTGAGTAACCCTCTCACCTCTGACCCTAAAAATTTGAAATATTTTCCAAAAGCTGAATATTGAATGATATAGCACAGATGAGATCATTGCACCCATCATAACTGCATCAATTCTCCAGAAATAAAAACTATACAACTAGTCTCTTCACCCATATTTATGTAAATTTACCAAATTCCCTCTAGCAAGCTGTTTTCAGACAAAAGACAACATGCACTGCATTTATTTTGCAACCGGTTCATTTGCCTGCCCTGGGGATGGAATGCTGCACTGTTGGAGATGCTGTCATTCAGAAGAAATGCTAAACCAAGGCTACAGATGCCCTCTGTCGTGCATTTAATTGGATTCATGGACCTATTCAATAATATTGCAACAGCAATATTTAACCCTCAGTAAACATCTATAAAATTCTGCCTATGGGATCTAACTGCTACATGTCCTAACAATAACATTTGCAAAGTATTTCACTGGCTGTAAAGCTTTTCAGGACATCCTGAGTTTTTGAAAATTGCTGAACAAATCACATTATTTCTTTTGGCACCTCCTGCATATGGTGCCATTTTCCTCTCTTTCCTTTGCACTTGTACTTTAGGACATAGACTGATGTCAGTACATAGTACCACAAAGCATTTAGTAATGACTAATATGACTCATGCACATTTACTTTTAAATGCTATCTCTGAGAGTGAATGTTGTACTGTTTAAACACATGGGGGAATGTCAGACCAATGTGTTCTATACCTGCTGGGTCAGGAAGTTCTCCAAGGTGAATTAGAATCTCTGAAGAATGAGAGGAAATTAATCTTCATGTAGGTTTTGCTTTGTAGTGAACACATTTCTGTGAGGTTCTTCTTCTTCATTATTTTAAATGAAGTTTTAAATATTTAAAATAAACAGGTCACATCCTTTGCATGCAAAGGAAGTTTGTATGGTTTTGTTCCCAAGTGTGACCCAAGCCAAACAATGTCAGGATTGTGAGGGAATTGGAGTTTTATTCCCAAAGTGGACTGAATTCAAGGCCTGTAAAGAAACACATTGGGATGAGATGGCAGAATGTAGGCTCAGATGGCACATGTGTCACAGTCAAAACTTTTACACACACTACAGTGTCCTATCACTGAAGCTTACAGCAGGAGTCACAGCAACTACAGAAGGGAGTTTTTCACTATATTTCTATAAATCAAGACATCTGGCTCTCTCAGTCAAGCGGTGGAGCATGCATCCGTTTCCTATGTGGTTGTGAACATGTGTGTGTGCATTCTTTCTATGCTTGTGTGTACGTGTGTATTGTGTGCATGTCTGTGTGAGTGTTTTGTGCATGTCGGTTTGTGTGTGTGTGTGTGTGTGTGTGTGTGTGTGTTGTATGCATGTCTGTTTGTGTGAGAGTAGTCTGTGCACTGGAAGGTGTATGAAGAGTTTCAGACTGGATTTATAGGCACCTCCTCAAAGACAGAAGGGAAACCCAAGCACATAGCTCCAAATTTTGAATACACAGGGGAGGTAGTTTAGAGAGACAGTGGCAGGGCCTAAAGGAAGTTACCTGTGACTGACCTTGGTTCACTTCATCAGTGAACTCTGCCTGCTCCACTAGCCTGATGGGAATCAGGATCAATATCTGTCACTCTTTGGACCTGATAATTTAGCTGTAAGGATTGTACCTGCATCCAAAGTCTCATTTCTATGCTTAGAGCTGAACATCCCTGAATTTCTAGGGTGGGGACACAAGACGGAGGAAGCCTGATATGATCTTTCTTAATTGCTTCTTGTTCTTAGAAGCAATGTTGTTGCAATTATAAGAATATCATATAACTGGGGTGGTCAGCCTAAAAAAAATACCAGAGAGAGTTCCTGGAAGTTTTGAGGCTGCAGTCTAAGAACTGGGATTCCAAGATAAGGCCCCCATTTAATGAGGACAGCAACATTGTTGAGAGGAATAAGTGTCAGAATAAGGGATCCTGCTGATTGCAATACAGAAAGGTTTGTATTTATAAAGCAGTGTACCTTCAAACTATCACCTCACGGATTCCATCAGGGTGCTCCTCAGGGCTCCTTGTTTAACACCTACTTACTTTTCACCTACTCAGACTCTCACAGTATCTCTGCCTTGCCTTACCTTTCTGTGCTTTGCTCCCTCAGCCAGAACTTAAAGGCTCCTGAGTCTTGCCTTACTATTTAGCGTAGACACAAAGCAGGGCAGCTTGTCATGGCTGTCAGCAATGATCAGTTAATGGCACAGTTCCATGTCACAGCTGAACCATGTGGCCAAAGTGTATGTGGCAATCATGTTGCATATCCTTTAACCAAACAGCCATGTCTCAAAGTCTGAGGGGAGTAGTCCTCACTCAGGCTGTGGGAGATACCATTCAGCCAGGGGGTCCCCACAGAGAAAGTTAAGGGCATCATCTGCTATCATATAGTTAATTGGCCACTCAAGCTGATCAGGGTCACAGACCTCATATGTCTACAGTCTGGGCAGTGGGTGACAGTCAGTCCTGCAAGTCTATAGTGCGGGGAGGCCCGGTGAGTCTAGCTGAGAGCTGCCCAGGGATTGGTCAGGGAGGGTCTGGTTACTCATCAGTCAGGCCTGTCCATCCAAGTCAGTCAGAGGGGTAGCCATGAGCAGTCCTGGGCATCAGCACAATAAAAGTCATGGAGGGAGGTTATCAGAGTCACTGCTGTGTTCTGCAAGTTGAGAAAATCAAATGTGGGGATTGAAGGTAGCATGCTGGGATGCGGGAGAGTTGGTGGGGGGAGGGGGTTGCAATAACTGTGAGAAGCAGGAGACAAGTGTACCAGAGGGGCGTCAGTGATGGTCACAACCATCCTAGCAGGGTGGGGGACAGAGCAGCATAACTAAGCTGTAGCCTGGGCGGGGGTAGGGGTGGGGGGGGGGGGGGGGAAGAGTTGCCCTCCCTTAGACAGGGTTCTAAGATAGCACGAGGCTAGTGACGAGTAGCCTGTGTACCTTGGCTCTTAAGTAGCAATAGATGCACGAATGGGCACTTGCATTTGCAATGACGTGTCAGGCATACCACATATGTACCCCCGAGAGGCATTTCATTTTGGCTCCCCTCTTACTACTTGTACGATGAAGGGTAAACTCCTGGTTGGCGCCGTTTGACCAGGAACCACAGCTGGTCTTTAAAAATAGCTCCAGTACCCGGAATTCAGGAGGTCCCAGCAGCGATGAGAACATGCCCCTCAGATGAGAGGGAAGACAGAACGAATGCAGCACCGTAGGGGCATAGAGTCAATGAGGCATGTTTTGAAGAACAGCATGAAAAATCTCACTGGGGCTCATGGGTTGGGGGAAGCCTGCCCAGAAACACACCAAAGCTGGCACTTGGCCGATTCCTGGTAAAATCCAGCCACCGTTTCTCTCACACCATCCA